CCCTCCAAAACAGAACGTAGCACCCTCAGGTGGATTCAGAGGGTAGAGGCAGAGCATAAGCCCCAACTCCTAAGAACCTAGCACTACCCTAACACCCAAACCAAACAAAGCAATGACAAGTAAAGAAAACTTTAGACCCTATCTCTCATGAATATAGATGCGAAAATCCTCACCGAGATGCCACCATACACCTATTAGAATGGCCAAACTCGAACACTGAAAACAGCACAGGCTGGTGAGGATGTGGGGACAACACCAACTCTCATTCCTTGCTGGTGAGAACAGTACAGCCACTTTGGAAGACACTTTGGCAGTTTCTTACAGAACTAAACCTACTCTTACCCTATCTGGCAATTGTGTTCCTTCGTATCTACCAAAGAAGTTGAAAACTTGGGGCCATGCAAAAATCTACACGCAATTGTTTCTAGCAGCTTTATTCATAATTGCCAAAACTTGGAAGCAACCAAGATGTCTCCTTAGTGGGTGAATGGATAAACAGTGATACATGCAGACAATGGAATATTGTTCAGTTCCAAAAAGAAATTATCAAGCCATGAAAGAATCTTAAGTGCATATTACTCAGTGAAAATAGCCAATCTAAAGAGGCGTCATACTGTATGATTCCAAGTATGTGGCATTCCAGAAAAAGCAGAGATGGAGAGAGTAAAAGGATCAGTGGCTCCCCAGTAATGAGTGAGCAAGGGAGTGATGATGGAATGGAATCAGAGGACTTTTAGGGCAGTGAAACAGTATCTATGTGATACTGTAATTATATTATTATGAATTTGCTCAGACTCAGAATGTGTACACCTAATATGTACAATATACTCTGGGTGATAATGATTTTCAGTTATAACAAAGGTACCATTCTGGTGGGGGATGTTGATAATGGAGGAGGCGCTGAATGTGTGCAGGCAGGGGATATATGGGAGTTAGCTACCATCCTCTTCATTTTCTTATTAACCTAAAACTGCCGTAAAACAAAGGCCTTAAATCATATATATATATATATATTTATATTTATATATATGTAATTGGACCACATTGGCCGAGCCTTAGTAAGCCTGGGTTTTACTTCCAATCCTGCCACTAACTAGCCCTGCAAGCAACTTCCCCTACCTGGACCCTAATTTAATTTTCAGCAAAGGGAGGACGTGGGCCTTGGGATTTCTAAGCCTTTTTCGCATTCCAACTTTCTGTAGTCAATACTAATTGTTTCTTTCTACTTTAAAGCTATAAAGGGCTACCTCAATCTTTGCAGGATTTGTCTATTAGATCAAATAAAATGGAATAATATGGACATACACAAAATAATAATGTCTATTTAAAAATATCAGAAAGGGGCACCTGGGTGGCTCAGTCGGTTAAGAGTCTGCTTTGGTTCAGGTCGTGATCCCAGGGCCCTGGGATAGAGCCCCGCATTGGGCTCCCTGCTCCACGTGGAGCCTGCTTCTCCCTCTGCCCCGCCCCCGCTCGTGCTCTCTCTCAAATAAATATTAAAAAAAATAAAAAGATCAGAAAGTTACAAGTTATCAATATTTTTTAAACAGTTTAATTCAGGCATAATTGACTTAAGCTGCTCATATTTAAAACCCAACATTTTGTAATTTACATGCTTATGGTATTAAAAGTTTCCTTCTACCCTTTGTAATTTATCCTCTTGCTATAGGAAATGACTCAGAACAGGACATATTCTACCCTTTGTAATGGCATTTTCAAATACATTCCCAAAATGGAAAAGACTATTAGGAAGTTGTTATTCTATCATTATTTATCATTTTATGGTCAATTCTTTCATCTACCCCCATGCACTTAGTGGTTTATTTATGATCCCAAACATGAATGTCATTCACACCTACCCCATTCAGAATGTGTTTATAAAATGGAAATGCTCCTATATGACTCCAAAAACTTTTTTACAATAAAAATATTTGAAATTATGAAAAGTCATTTTAAGTGCTGGGCTTTGTCAGCTGTGTTGGTTATTTAGCGCAGATTGATTTCAATCAGGATGGGAAATTTAGCCATAGGCAAGTATTAGGTGAATCTTGCAAGTCATCTTTTTTTTTTTAATTCAGTAGGCTCCATGCTCAACATGGGTCTTGAACTCATGACCCTGAGATCAAGAGTCCCATGCTCTACAGACTGAGCCAGCCAGGTGCCCTTCTTATGAGTCTTTTAACCCACTTACCACTTGTTGCTTTTTATTGTTCACTTGGTGAGGTTGCCAGGCCTTTTGTCTATTAGAATTTGCTACAGTGTAGATGTGGCTTGTTGATTTGTTCATGCTCCGCCTCCCCCTACATTTCTTTTTTTAAAGATTTTATTTATTTATTTATCTATCTATTTATTTATTTATTTATCACAGAGAGAGAGAGAGAGAGAGAGAGCACAAACAGGGGGAGCAGCAGAGGGAGAGGGAGGAGCAGGCTCCTCACTAAGCAAGGAGCCCAATGTGGGGCTCGATCACAGGAACCTGGGATCATGACCTGAGCCGAAGGCAGACGCTTAACGACTGAGCCACCCAGGCGTCCCCCCTGCCTCCCCCTACATTTCTTGTACACTAGCTTTGCTCAACATCAAGAACCATCAGGGAAATGCAGCCAGTACCACAGTGAGATACTGCTACACATTTACTAAAAGCATTCACATTTTAAATGACCAACCAAACCCACTATTAGCAAAGACACCAGAGAACTGGAACTCTCATACACTGCTAGTAGGAATACAAAACGAATAATCATTTTCCAAGAAAATTTGGCATCCTTTATGAGGTCATACCTTCACCTACACTATGACTCAGATATTAACACAATAGAAAGGAACCATACCAACAGGAAGAACAGTATCCAAATTTTGCATTTTTTTTAAAGAAAGGGTTTTAGTGATTTTTGAGCTGGTTGCAATTCATTCATTCATTCATTTATTTATCCAGAAAGCATCAGTGCGCATGCTCAAGCAGGGCAGTGGGGGGCAGTTGCGGGAGAAAGATGGGGGAGAGAGAGAGAGAGAATGTTAAGCAGGCTCCACACCCATGGCGGAGTCCAATGCTGGGCTCACTGGGCTTGATCTCACAACCCTGAGATCATGACATTAGCTAAAATCAAGATTTCAGAAGCTTAATCCAAGAGGCCGGCAGGTGCCCCTGCTGCAGCAGTTTTACTTGCAGCCCGCCAAATTGGAAACAATTAAAATATCCATAAAGAGATGAATACATAAATAAATAGTGCTATATCAATAGAACATACTTCTCAAGGATATAAACATTGAACTGCTCATATAAGCACCACAGATAAATTTTAAAAAATGTCACATGAGGGGACACAAGGAAAGGACGATGAAACACTTTTAAGACTCCAATCATATAAATTCTAGAAAATGCAAACTCATCTACTATAATGAAAAGGCAATGGATGCCTCGAGGAGAGATTATTAAAGGACAAAAAGTAAATGTGGGGGTGATGGAAAGGTTTATCATCATGATTGATGGCTTCATGGGTTTATGTGAAAGTCAAAATGTCATTTGCACAATTTAATGATGGACATTGCATGTCATTTGTACCTTACTGAAACTTAAAAAAATATATGGTTAAAATTTAAGTCTGGATTCCCTATGCTTCAGAAGATTAAGTTTGGCCACCATACTGATTCCACCATCTTTCTCCTCATCAGAAGGCATTTGCAAAAATAGGTGAGCAATGAAGGTATTCCGAGTTCATTCAACAGGGATACCAGCTGAGTCACAAAAAAGGCCTCTTGGCTGCACTAAGAGTTCTCTCCTGTCTCTGTCCTTGCTTTGCTGCCATGCAAAACCATGGCCTTTGGTGAACAGCCCAGAGGGAACGAGGAATCCACAAAACCTTTAGATTATTTTTTTCTGACAGGCCCTCAGCTGCACAAGATACATCCTTGTGTAGGTCCTGAGAATATCTCTACCTGCTCATCCTTCACAGTCCTAGCGCCTAAACACTGTGCATGCCCTTTTCAAAGAGGTACATTCAACTCGTTCACTGGTCTCCCGAACTCTCTATTAATTCAGGGTTTCTGTACCAGCAATCATTCCCCTGGCCCTTATAATCTTAAAACCAGTGATGTTACTCTACAGAATTCAGGACGTCAAGGCCCCTGGCTCCGCTGCTGGGTCTGGGGAAGAGATTTCCTTCACCAGCACCGAGCATCATGCCATCAATATCCCTTGTGAACAAGAAAACAAGACCATGCCGCTCAGAAGCACTGAAGGTTGTCAAAACAACCACCAACGACTGCCCCCTCTTCGGGTTGAAACTCTGACCCCACAAAATATCCTGGCATCCAAGTATAAGTTAGGACCACAGAGCCCTACAGTCTTTCCTTAAAGGCTTTGAGCAGCCATGCAAAGTAGGCCCAAACTGGAGAGTTATCTTCTGCCATCATACGGTCCCTTCTGGGGCACACAACTCTGTTCACCCCTTCACGCTCGCAAACACAGTTAATTGCAGCACACACAGACACTGAACAGAATCCCCGAGATTAATGGTGGCTTAAACAATAAGATCTTTATTGTCGTACAGCAAGAGCAACGGGAGGCAGACTGTTCCTGGGTTGGTGATTTGGAGGCTGGGAAATGCCACCACAGAGTCTCATGAGGACAGTAACATTCCTGAAAAATGTCGTCCACCTTTTCAAATCACCGACAGTCCTGCAGGACAAACCTGGGGGAGATGCATGCCCTCTCTTCAGAGAGGAAAAACGGGGAAGGAGTAAGCGCTCAGGCTATTCATTAGTCATCCAGCAATTGCCCTGACACTGGGGTATGGCCCCTGGGCAGGTTCAAAGACTGCAATGCAGCTGCCACATACCCGGGATTTATGTAGATGTCTGAATGTATGAGCTTCAACACAGGCAGATGGCACCTTCATAAGGGATCTCCTCCCGTGTTGTCACATTCATCAATTAAATACCTGCACATTTAAGGTGGTTCTCCCCTTTGAAATTTGTGAAGTCCTATGAGGTAAAGTCCTTCAGATGAAGGCTTTCTCATATTCACGGCATCTGTAAGGCCTTTCACTACCGTGAGTTCTCTGGAGAGCAATGAGGCTAGCCTTTGGTTAGCCATTTCCCACATTCTTCACATTCATAGGCCTTCATCTAAGGAGACACTGTGGTGTTTTAGGAGCTTGGACTCATAGGTAAAGAATATCCCACGTTCCAATACTCATAAAGCCGTTTTCAGTGTGAATATTTGAATGGGCACTGAAATGGAAGACAGAGGTGAACGTTTCCCAAAGTCACTGTCCTCCTAAAGCCTTTCTCCAGTGTGCACTTTTCGGTGCTTAATGAGGCTAGAACTGTGGCTAAAGGATTTCCCACATTCGCTGCACTCGTAAGGTCTTTCTCCAGTGTGAATTCTCCTGTGTTTAATGAGACTGGAGTTTTGAGTAAAGGATTTCCCACATTCACTGCACTCATAAGGCCTTGATCCAGTATGTACTCTCTGGTGTTTGAGGAGACTGGAACTGTAAGTAAAGAATTTCCCACATTCGCTGCACTCATAAGGCCTTTCTCCAGTGTGAACTCTCCGATGTTGAAGCAGCGCGGAGCTTTGGCTAAAAGATTTCTCACATTCGCTGCACTTATAAGGCCTTTCTCCACTATGAACTCTACGGTGTTCGATGAGGCTGGAGTTTTGAGTAAAGGATTTTCCACATTCACTGCACTCATAGGGCCTCGATCCCGAGTGAACTCTCTGGTGTTTTATGAGACTGGAGTGGTAGGTAAAGAATTTCCCACATTCACTGCACTCATAAGGCCTTTCTCCAGTGTGAACACTGCGGTGTTGGAGGAGCGCAGAGCTTTCGCTGAAGGACTTCCCACATTCACTACACTCATACGGCCGTTCCCCAGTGTGAATTCTCCGATGTTTAATGAGGTTAGACTTGTTACTAAACAATTTGCCACATTCGTCACACTCGTGAGGCCTTGCTCCAGTGTGAACTCTCCGGTGCTGAATGAGGCTAGAGCTCTGCCTGAAGGACTTCCCACATTCCCCACACTCATAAGGCTTTTCCCCAGTGTGCACTCTCCAGTGGTCATTGAGGCTGTAGCTTTTGCTAAAAGATTTCCCACATTCACTGCACATGAAGCATCTCTCTCTAGCGAGGTCTCTCTGGTGGTGAACAAGTGTGTGTTTGCAAGTGAAGTCCTTTGTGCCTTCTCCCCAGTTGCGTTGCGCCTTCCTTCCACGAGAGGGTGCCCCATACTCCGTCGTCCTGTATGACTTCTCCCTGCTGTGTGTGGCCGGCTGCTGGAAGAATCTCGAGGTGGCCAAGATGTCCCTCTCAACCACCCCACAGGAAAAGGGTTTCCCTGACACACACAATTTGTAGTCCTTCACAAAAGAAGCTCTGCCCGTGTTGCTTCTGAAGCATTTCTCTCCAATGTGCTCCTTCTGGTGCTGAAGGTTTGCCTCAAAACACAACTGTTTCTCACATGCCTCAATCTTGTAGAGATTCTGTCCACAAAGTGTTGCCTGGTGCTCGGTGGAGAGCAAAATGTCTCTCAAGTCCTGGCCACACACCTCACGAGGATGGGCCTTCTGGGGAGACACAACTGCCTTGAAAGTCCTGACCTGGGACACGCCTTGTACGGAAACCTTCCGCTCAGGTGCCTCCTCATCCTCCGCACCATGCCTACAACCTGAAAGCAAGAAATGCTGGTGAAGTGCATGCTGCCTCTGGTGGGAGGAGGCAGCTACTCTATGAGCTACAGATGTGTGTCTAAGAACCCCAGGAACCAGTGCTTGGGACTGTTTGCAGGACCAGGGAGATGGCTCAGGTGGAGGATGGGGCTGCTTGGCAGTAGCAGGCTACAAGGAGCACAGAATGGGAGAGGCCTCATGAGGGGAAGGATGCAAGCACGTGGCGTGACACGGAGAAGAGAAATGGTCTGCAATTCATTCCTCTGCAAACAACTTTCCAAAGGAACTTATCTCCTATGGACACACCTTTTCCACACAGACAGGTGTGACAAGACCCAGGGAAATAGGACTGTAACCTGGCAGGTGGTGTTCAGGGCTGCTTAAGAACACGGGCACCCTTGGGGCGCCTGGGTGGCTCAGACGTTAAGCGTCTGCCTTCGGCTCAGGTCATGATCCCAGGGTCCTGGGATCGAGCCCCGCATTGGGCTCCCTGCTCAGAGGGAAGCCTGCTTCTCCCTCTCCCACTCCCCCTGCTTGTGTTCCTTCTCTCACTCTTTCTCTGTCAAATAAATAAAATCTTTAAAAAAAAAAAAGAACACGGGCACACCTCATGACGTACTATACAGCAGCCAATGTGCAAAGCACTGCAGGTGGAGTGGTGAGAAAAACGAGGGAGATGTGGATCCCAGAAACGTGAGGTTAACCCCAGGCCAGAAGTAAGAGCAGAAGCGACAAGTAACAGAGTTGACAAATCGGCAGAGTGCCAAGAAAGGGGAAGAGAAGACAGAAATGAAATGTGGCCCCTGGCATCATAATACCAGTCAAACAGAACAGGCTTCCGGTCTGATCTGAACACAGCACGGACACCATCTTCCTCCAGGTACCACTTTGCGGGGCCTGGCTTCCTCTGAGCCGTCGTGTTGTGTGTGGGTCAACGTACCTACTGTGAACCACCCTGGGCTCTCCAATCCAGCCCCACTCCCACAGTCAGCAAGTGCATGGCAACTTCATGATACAAGTGCTAAGGAAAAGAGAGGACAGATGAGTAGCCATCGGTATCCCAGAACGACTCAGCACATGACAGCCCATGGCAAAGGGAACTAAACAGTTCCCAGAGAGGTCTGGAAGAGGGTCTCATGAGAACAGCCCACGGTCCACGGATGTAGTAACTTTGTCACAGACAGCAAGTCCTGGCGCAGGGAGGCACAAGGAAGCCTCAGTAGAGGAAGGAAGCAGACGTGGAGCACGCAGGTATCTTGCATCGAGACAAAGTCACCCAGTCAGGGAGAGGGCAGGGCAGGTAAGGGGCTATCCATTAGGTTCACTGCAAGACTCCTGACCCTGATTCCTTCCCTGAAAGTCAGCAGGAAAGCTGGTGTCGGGGCCGCTCAAGGAAGGAGGGCAGTGCACTGACCTCAGCCTTACCAACCACAGCACCTACCCCGGGAACTGGGGAAGGAAGCAGTGCTCATGGTCCCTATGTAAAGACAGACTGCTCCTGGGGACAAAGGGAAGGGCAGAGACTAGCTCAGGGCACAGGGCTGGGGGTGGAGGGTCTTACCCAAGGAGGTTATAAGTGCCAAGTTCTCCAGCATCACATCCTGGTACAGACATCTCTGAGCCTCATCAAGGAGACCCCATTCCTCCCAGGAGAAGTACACGGCCACGTCTTCAAAGGTCACCCTGCCCTGGCAGGATGGGGACAGATGAAACCACAAAAAGCCCCTCTCCCAAGAACCCAAATCCCTTTTCCCGCCCACATCTACCCTATGCCCATCCTCCCCCTGATCTCCCCAACCGAGAGGAGAAACCAGGCCCCAGTGCCTGGGTGCCGTGGCACCCCTGTCTCCTCGTGGCCCACCGATCGCAGGGTCCCGCTGACACAAGAAGAGGCAGGTGGACAAGTATATATATCTAAGTTGTGGACCTGGCATAGAGGGATCTTCCTGGCCATCCAGGTTATTCCGCTGAAAACCAGGGCCCTGGCGTCACTCAGGCATACTCCCTCTCCAAGGACACATCATTCTTGAGACTGGGTCCCACAGCCACATGCCTATGGTCACCACACCTCACTGCCCCACACCACAGAAATCTCCCTGGCCTCCCCACACGTTACGGGTATTTTCATCACCTCCGCTTCACCCCACTGGGGAGGGCGGGAGTCCCATCTTAGGGTTATGGGGACGGCCAAACACAGAACACCTAACACTGGACAGATGAGATGGATAGCACTTCAGTAATCACAGATATTCACAGCCTGGGAGAGGAGGACACCACACCCCACACAGGCCCACATGGGGGTGGCACTCTGGAAAAAGGTGAACAACCAGGAGCTGTAGGATGCACGCTTCACAGCATCAAGAGGGTGAGGTGCCTCCCGGTTCCTGTAAGAGGATGTGTAACTCCGTGGGCTGGCAGGGCGCTGAAACCCGTACAAAGGGAAAAGCAGGAAATGCACCTTTGATGAAAAGGTAGTTTGAGCAGGAGACCTTCCCAGCAGCAGAAGAGTGGGAGGGGATCTCACACTCGGGCCGTGAGGTCCCCACCTTTCACCAGACGAGGGTCTCCCCCACCTGTGCTGCACTTGTCCCCTCAGCATCACAGTCTTCCTCTGTCCCCCTGACCCTCATTCAAAGCAAGGCTCCTTGGTGGCCTACCCCAGGCTCAGTGTCTCTCACAGGTGATCACATCAGCACGGCACACATGACCTTACTCCTCCAGGATGAAGGTCTTCACAAAACCCTGGTGCAGTTCAGAGTGGAGGAGCACCACCATCACGGGCCCGAGTGTCATCATCTTGCCTTAAGTACTCCTAAACTTCTGGGTCCCTCTCATGTCTACGCTTCCGCTGGAAACCCTGGCCACCCGCCCGAGTATCCTGTCCCCGACGCACTCTCCCTCTGTGGCCACCCACGTCCCTCATCTCTGAAGTCACACCATCACCTACGTATCCGGTCCCGGTCCCCCTTCCTCCCACCGCTGTCTGGCCCCACGCCCAGCTTTACCACCATAACCAGAGACTGTTCCTCACAACTGTGACCTACAGCTCACTCACCTGGGCCCACACGGTAGCCATGACGTGTTCAGATGTCTCCCTTCTGAACCCCTCCCCAGATTTCCAGACTCGTGCGTTCGACTGCTCACTTAATGCATCCAGTCGGTGCTCTCCGGAACATCTCCCGCCAACATCACTCACACTACCGACTTCCTCATCTCAGTCGATGGAGCTTCTGTTCCTACAGCTGCTAAGAACTAAAACCCTAGAGATAGCCCCGAATCCTCCCTCTCACCGTGTCTCAGCCCACATTAGAAAATCAGTGGTCACTTTTTGAGAACACATACCCAGAATCCAATGACATCTAAGCCAGCACTCTGGTCCAAGAACCCTCACCTCGACTATGACGGCAGCCTCCACCCTGGTCTTCCTGCCTCCGCCCTCGGCCCGTATCTTTACTTCACGCCACAGCAGGATGGATCCCGTCAGGACCTTGGTAACATCACGTAGCTGCTCATATCCAAGCCTCCCATTACCACCAGGAGACACACCCAACTTCCCAGGCAGCCATTCCAGTCCTGCCTGCTGTCTCTCTGCTCCTCGCTCCCACCCGCAAGAAAAGAGAACGGTGGTTTCCCGAACAGTGCCAGCTGAGTGTTAACTCGGGCATGTGCACACCTGCTACGAGTTCCCGGAATAACCGTGCACACACTGGTTGCCAGAAACGGAAACCCCTTCAGAGAACGCTTGGCACGGGCCTGGGGTTTCTCCACGGTCTCCAGACCCAAAACTTGGGAAATGGCACTTCAGAGTCCCAGGACACAACAACGCAGGAGACAAGCGGGTGGGGGTCAGGTCAGGGCCGGTGAGGGGCTGGGCCACCTCCGACTCGTTCGTGTTGGCTCCGTGAGCGCTTCTGCAGCGGCGGGAAATGGGGCGAGTCCGGCCCAGCCTTCGGCCAACAAGACCACGGCGGGTTCCACGGACTCAAAGCCCCCGGGATCCTCGCCCGGCCCTGAAGACTGACTCGGCGGGCTGGCAGTTCAAGCTCTGTGCCTCAGGGCTCAGTATCGTCCCTGAGGACGTGCCCCGCAACTGGAGCCCGCTCCCGCACGCCAGCAGGCCGGCGCTCACACACCGGGCCCCGCACGCCGGGGCCGGGGCCGCAGGGACGGGAGCAGGCGCCCCGCGCTCGGCCTTTAGGGTCTGGGTGGGGAGAGGGCGGGGAGGGCCCGGGGGACGAGCGCTTACCTCAGCCCGGTGCCCGGGCGCGACGGCCGCCATCGGACTCGGTGGGCGGAGCGGACACCCGGACCCGCGGTCCCCGTCCCGGCCCCGGTAACCCGGGTGGCGTCGCCGAGCTGCGGACCCGCAACCGTACAGCAGGGTCAGCGCCTCCTCTCGCCTCTTCTCGGTCGCGTTAACTCTGTATGGATGATAACTCCCGAACCTTTTTCCAGGTGAGCAAACCCAGATCAGCTAGCTAATTTTGCCGAGCTGTGGCGACAGCCGGAAGTCCCGCCCGCACTGTGCGGGCCACGAACGGAAGAGCCTCTTTGTCGCTTTCATTGGAGAGCAATGCTGCCGCTCGACTCTTCGCATTCTGGGTAACGTAGTCCGCGCAGTTATGAAGCCCGGAGTCAGATTCATCCTTCATGGAAGCTCCAGGCTCCGCTGAAAAGGGCGAAGGGAAAAGGCCGATGCTGTTCGGCTTCGCTTCATATTTGACAGAACGTGACCATATTTCTGCCTAATCCTCTCTAACGCTCATCACCCAAGTGTTTGGAGACCTATTTCAGACCCAGGGAAGCTAAGCCTGCCCCCGAACGCCAATAATATTTTTGATGCTCCCAAAGGCTACAAACCAAATAAACATCATTCGGTAGCGTCTTTCAGTCGCAAAGTGTGTCCACGCCTGGTGAGGGCTAATAAACATTATCTTATTTCAGTTCTAATGCGTTCACTCCATAGCATTAAATTCACTTGATCAAGAGAGAAAATACTCCCGGTTGTGCCATATCAAGAAGGTTGGGCCACCTGGAATCACAAGTACAAGGGTAGATATGACAGAGTCGCTCCTTGACTAGTCTTTAGTTAGGACACTATAGGCTTTTTTTTTTTTTTT